TTCAACTTGCTGCTCCATTTTTGTGATGTTGATCTTGACTGTGAGTTCACCTGTGTGGCCTGAGCCATCCCTTATCAAATCCATTAGCCTGTGGGCGGCTAGTTAGCTCAGTTGGTTAGAGCGCAGTGCTGATAACACCAAGGTTGCTGGTTCAGTCCCCGCAAGGGCCAGTGAGTTGTGCCCTCCACAGCTATGTTGAAACAACTACTTGACTTGGAGCTGATGGGTCCTGGAAAAACACACTGTTCCCCAATTAAAAAAAAAAAACCATTAGCCTTTCACCTGGTGTTTTTTATTATCCATTGATAATCCATATCTACACTCATTATTTGTGCTAGGAGTTTAAAATGGTCATTTTTTATTCTATCATTCTGTCTTCTTTTATTAAGGGGAAATCTGTAAAGCAAAACAGCTCCCTTGTCAGTTATGTAATTACCCTGAAATATAATCGATGAAGAAACTGAGGCTCAGACATGAAGTCATTTGCCCAAGCCAGCAGGTGGTGGCGTGTGGCAGGAATCCTCTTTGGTAACTGCAGGGCTGAAGCTTGGTTATGCCATTAAAGATTCTGGCCCAAAGTCCCCACTATGTTGAAGCCTTCCCCGACCCTCTTCGCCTCTGTGGCCAAGGCAGCTGATGCTGCCGCCAGCTCCTTCATTCGGGGCACTCACCTCTCGGGCAGGGCGGTAGTGTCAGGTCTCCTGGTTACCCTTGTCACATAGAGCAGGAGTGGAGAGGAGCTGTGAGCCCAGGCCGGGTCCTCCAGTGCCCAGCACAGCCTCAGGACACGTTTGTTGAAAAGATGATTCTAGCATTTCCCCTCAAGGCCCGCTGCCATGTCTCTGGCAGAAGTGTAACATTCGGTCGATTAAGAAAATGGAATAAAAAAACAAAAGAAAACGGGGAGATCTACTACATCAGCGGTTCTCAACCTTCCTAATGCCGTGACCCCTTAACACAGTTCCTCATGTTGTGGTGACCCCCAACCATAAAGTTATTTTCGTTGCTACTCTATAACTGTCATTTTGCTACTGTTATGAATCGTCATGTAAATATCTTTGTTTTCCGATGGTCTTAGGCGACCCCTGTGAAAGGGGCGTTCGACCCCCAAGGGGGCCGCGACCCACAGGTTGAGAACCGCTGCCCTAGAGCATCTGGGGTTCTGAGCTCCATCCTGCTCGTCTTTCCCACATCAGGGTCATGAACTGCATTGAAAAAGGGGAGCCATGGGGCCGGCCGAGTGGCGTGATGGTTAAGAACTGGCTTGGGACGCCAGAGGGCCCCGGTTCGGATCCCTCATATGAGGGCCAATGACACTGCCCTCCACAGCTAAGATGCTGAACAACAGCTCAACCTGGAGCTGGGCTGCCCTGAGTCGCCAGCGACGGCATAGGCTGCAGCCCCTGTGGCAGTGGGTTGCCATGGGCTACCGTATGTAGCCAGCAGCCAGTGTGAGTGGCCAGCAGCCGCAGTGAGCGGCCGTCCAGAAGCCAGCGACTGATCTGCCTCGCCCAGGAAGAGCGCAATGATGGTGCCAACTTGGACCAGTGAAGCAACGTCCTCCACAACTAGACTGAAGAACAAAACGACAGCAGCTTGTCTGTTCCCCTTCCCCCAATTCCCCAGCACTGTTCCCTTCCCCCCAGTACCCCAATAAAAATCTTTAAAAAAAAGAAAAACAAAAAGAAAAAGGGGAGCCATGGAATTCTGAACCCCTTTCCCCAGGGGAGCAAAGGGGCTGTGCCAGGCCAATGTCCTGCTGGCTTGTGAGACCTGAGATCTTAGGTAGGCACCTGTCCTGAGTGTCAAAGGATGGGACTCTGATATCCATCCCCCTGCCCCCCAACACACACACACACACCCTGAGCAGTTGACAAGGTCTCTAGCATTGTGTGCTGCCCTGGGTCCAAGGAGCTGGCTGAGCTTTGGGAGACAGCCTTTGAGGAGTTGCCATTACCTGTCTTGGGTGCCAGAGGCCCTGCATCTGAGTCAGAATATTGCTTCAGGCACTTTGGGGGGATATTCTGTAAACCCTCAAGTCATTTGGTGCAACCCAGGGGGCTGCAAACGAAGTTCCACCTCATTTTTCTCATCTCTAAAATGGAGATAATGTTATTTCTAAGTTGCTGTGAGAAAAAAACTGGAGATAATGTTTGAGAAAGTGGTTTGTAAACCACAGGGCGGGGTGCAGCAACGTGGCGGGCTCGGTTCAGGACACAGACCTGTCCCAGCGACGTGGCCTGCCCTCCCTGCGAGGCCCTCCCTCCCCTTCCTGTGGTGGGACAGGCGTGACCACATCACTTGAGTGTGAGTGACAAAGCCCTAGAAGAAGCTGGGCCTGGAGCCTGCGGGGGTCCCCTCCTGAGGGCAGGGGCAGAGCTCAGCGGTGGCCCCTTGCTGGGGAGACTATGCAGGGGCCTCTCAGCACTGTCTTTAGACCAAAACAGCCATCACACGCCACCCTTCCTGGGAAGATGAGGGTTCAGGAGTCTTTGTACTTCCTTTGCCCCCTCACCCTTTTCAATCCCCCATGTTCGTTCATTTAATTTGGGATGATAGACAAAAATGATGATTTACAACCCAAGTCTTCTTTTTTAAGAAATGTTTCTGGCACTGGTTTTCAATTTGCAGCCATACTTACAAGAGCTATTCTTAGACTGGTCGCTGTGTCTCTTTTTCAAAGCTTGCCACCAGCCTTTATATAGACACCTTCTCCATTTTTGAGTTTCTTTATATAGACACCTTCTCCATCTTTGGTTTCTAATCTAGATACAGCTCTTGGTCGGCATGTTCAAGATCATTTATTTTTATAGGAAAATAGAAATTAAAAGGCTCTCCTAGGGTGAAACTTAGAGCTAAGAGCAGACTTGGTGTAGATGGTGGCAGAAGATGCTGGAGACATCGGAGCCGGGTAGCATGGGGAGACAGTGGGCAAAATTTCTTCATTGTCGGGTCAGGCTGTGGGCCCAGGGAGGCCCAGGGAGGCCCAGGGAAACCTCCCATCAGGATATTCTTCTGGCTGAGACTATGAGCTCAGACTTGGAAGGGACTATGAGAGGTCCTGTGGGCTACTTTTGGGGTTCAGGCTGAGGTGGTTGGATTTTGGGGTTTGGCCATTTTCTGTGGCAGCAGAGGCTCTCTGGGGCCAAGTGAACCTGTGTTGGGGACACAGGGCTGGTTGGTGGGGGATCTGGGACTTGAGCTCTGGCCAGGGCTCTTTCCACAGTGTCACACTTACCTCTTTGCATTCATTTCAGCATCCTTTAGATGTTCCTTTGGTCACATAGTACATTATTGCCAGAGGTTGTGATTCCAGCATAATCTTCTAGGATCTCTGCTGCAAAGAGATCCTGTGACTCCAGGATGGCGTTGACCAGCCTGTCAATAGGTGGCAGCACTGAAAGGGACACCTGTCAGGGCCTGGGGCTTGAATGCCCAGCTCAGCTTGGTTCCAGGCACGGCTAGCCCTCCCAGAAGCGTGGTGGGCCTGAAGGTGGCTTTGCCCTTTGACCGTGGTTCCAGCCTCTGGCCTGGCATTGGTCCTTGTTGGTAAACTTGGGAGGAGAATCCTAACAGCTCTCCCTTGGGTGACATCTGGGTTACTTTTCAACATGACATTGTTTATTAGCACGGGTACTGAAGTTGCCACTAGGAAGTTTGGGGCTGACCTGAGAGCCCATCTGGGGTAACTGGAAGTACCCTGGATGCCGTCCTCTGTCCTACGCACCCGTCTTTACTTTCTCACCCAGAACCTTCCTTCATGTTAGTTTCCTCAACTCTGTTCTTTGCTTTTCTGTGACGTACCTCACATTCCTTTGGAAATAAGCAGTGAAAATCAATAGATAATACAAGTAGATCGTATAAATGGCCCCTGTGCTGAGCTTGGTGCTGGGGATTCCAAGATGGAAATATGGTCTTGCCTCTAAGAGCAGACAGCTTTAGGAGGATAAACATGAGCGGATGACAGAACCGTGTTATGTGTAACAACAAAGGTGTGTAAAATGGGTAGAAGTATCTGATTGGAGGATGTGTGTGGAGCAGGCATTCAAGAAGTGACACAAAGTGAAGGAGCACAAAGTGGGAAGGGCCACAGTCCGCAGTACAGCACAGCTGGATGGTGAGGGTGTCAGCCACTGGGGAACGTGGGGAGACATGGCAAAGAAAAGGCACAGGCCCCTATGGGAGGCAACCTCTGCGATCAGGTGGTCTTGCTAGACTGGGAATGGAAAGAGGTAGTTACTGAGCACCTGCTGTGTGCCCGGCACCCTTCCCAGTGCTAGAAGTCCAGCTGGGAGCAGAACAGAGCCCCTGCCCGCGGGGAGCTTGTGTCTGCTGGAAGAAGGCAGACAGTTAACAAATACGGGAGTGAACAGTTTGTCAGATGGAGTCAGATGGTAGTGAGTGCTCTGGAGAAAAGCATGGAAAGGGGTTAGGGGCACCTGGGGTGGGGGAGGGGTTGGCACGTTTTGGGGGGCGGTCAGGGCAGAGACCCAAGGAAGTGCTGAAGTGAGCCGTATGGCTGGGCAGAGAGACGGCCTGTGGCAGGAGCAGGCTTGGCACGGGCAGGGGCCAGCAGGAGGCCCGTGTGGCTGGAGTGGAGCGGAGGGAACTGTAGGAGATGAGAGGTGATCAAAGCCACAGAGGGCCCGTCAGCAGGCTTGTGGGTGTTGTCAGCTATGGTAAAGATGGCGGCTTCTACTCTGAAGGGAGCTTTGGGAGAGATTTGAGCAGGAGGGGCCCAGCCTGGCTAACGTAGTAGGAAGCTCACACGGCTGCAGTGTTGGGACTGGACTGGATGACAGGCACGAGGACAGAAGCAGAGAGACTGACCGGTCAGGAGCCTGTTCCATTAATTTAGGGGAGACACAGGGGTTGGGCCAGGGTGACACATGGTGAGAGTCTGGGAATGTTCTGAAGGTGGACGCAGAGACCAGGAACATTCTTTGTAACCCTGCCGCTTGCCCTTGGAAGAGGCTAACCTTGTGATTTCCTCTGTCTAGGCCCTCTTCGATTACTCCCAGGGTTTCTCTCAGGGAGCCCCCTGCTGCCAGGCACCATGACGGTGAGGGGGGCCCCACTGGCCCCGGATCCAGCAGCACCCACAACCGCAGCAGCCTCGCCCAGTGTCTCCGCAACCCCTGAGGGCAGCCCCACGGCCGTGGAGCAGCCTGTGTTTCTGATGACAACTGCTGCTCAGGCCATCTCTGGCTTCTTCGTTTGGACGGCCCTGCTCATCACCTGCCACCAGGTACTAAGGCCAAAGAACCCCTGAAGACCCTCTAGAAGGATCCTGAGAGGTTTCTAGTCCAACACAGTATTAGTTAAGCTAGAACAGGGTGCTGCAGTAGTAAATAAACCCAGAAGTCTCCCAGGCTCCACTCGGTAGAAGTCGGTTTGCTCACAGCCCAGCCCAGCCCAGTACAGGTCAGGCTCCATTTTGTGGCTCCAGCGTCGTGCAGCTTCAAGGCATCATCCCTCTGACCACTACAGGAGGACATGTGGGGAAGGCACTCTGTATATTTTACCATCTAGATCCAGAAATGACACTCGTCGCTTTTGCCTGCCTTCCATGGGCCTGAACTGATCATGTGTCCAGCCTGAGCTACAGGGAGCCTGGGAACTGTGCAGGGGCACGTGGATGTCAGTGACCCCTTTGCACATGAGAAAATGCGCCCCAGAGAGGGAGGAGGGAGGGGACTAACCTAGTCACACACAGGTCAGTGGCAGCGCTGGGACAGAAGCCCAGTCTCCCATCCCGCAGTGCTCACGGCCCCAGGGGAACGTGCCCTGGCTGCCTGAGGGAGGAAGGCTTTGCCCAGGGAAGACGGGAGGCTGAGCCCTTCTGGGTCCCCTGTCAGCTCCCTGCCTGCTGCTCTGTGTTCCCCGTCCCTTCTAGAACCCGATTGCTTTCCAGGCCGTTGGCTCCTAGCAGACAGGGAATATTTTGTTCTCTTCCTCTGAGCCCTGGGCTCGGCTGGGCCAAGTGTGAAGTCATGAGAGCTGAGACGTGAGACTTGGGCTGCTGGGACCGACGATCACGGCTAGAGCGGTTCTTGGCATTTGGTGTAGCTTTTATTTCCCCCCCTGCTTTCTAAAAACCGCATTTCATTCTCCCAACTCCCCAGTGAGGCGGCAGCGCTGCCTCTGTTCACCAGATGGGAAAATGAGACACAGGATGAGGACATCACTGCAGCCTCCCAGCCAGGAAGCACTTCCACCCTCCATAGCAGTGAGGGTCCCATCTGTCCCCCCCTCCACACCATAAGTTAGTTTTGGGATGGTGCGGGGGAGCACCCACCCGGACACTGGCGTTTTAGCTCCGTGCCCCAGGGACTAGGTGTTTTGGAAGGTGGGGGCCAAGAGGACACACAGTGAAAGCCACCACACAAGCCTGGCCATGCATGTGGGTCCCCAGGGAGCTTGTTACAACTGGATTCCCGCTGGTCCTCGACTCTGATTTGGACAGTCTTGGGTATGGTCTCATGACCTCCCATGCCTGTGAGGCCGGTCTTGGCGCCAGCAGTGCACCCCACAAGCTTCATGCACCCCTTGGTTTGATGCCCACAGCAACCTCACACCAGAAGGTTCATCATCCCATTTTACAGAGGAGGACGCTGGGGCTCAGGGCTGAGTAACTCGGTCACAGAGTTAGGAAGTGGCAGAGCTAGAGGTGCCTTTGGTAGGCCCCTCCCACTTGGAGCCAAAGGCGGAGGCGGGCTGGTGAGGGGCGGGGCTGCGTGAGGGGCGGGGCTGCGCTGAACGGCCCCTCTGCCCCCAGATCTACATGCACCTGCGCTGCTACAGCTGCCCCAACGAGCAGCGCTACATCGTCCGCATCCTCTTCATCGTGCCCATCTACGCCTTCGACTCCTGGCTCAGCCTCCTGTTCTTCACCAACGACCAGTACTACGTGTACTTCGGCACCGTGCGCGACTGCTATGAGGGTGAGGATGGCGTGCGGGCGGGGCGCCAGGGAGGGCCTGGGACGTGGCTGCACACCCCCTCCTGCCCCGCATCTGGGAGCCGGAAGCCCCTCTCCAGGCTCCTCCTCGCGGGGCCTGCCACCCCTCCCTTCTTTACCCACGGCAGGGTTTCCATCCAGGCCCAAATCGACAGATGTAGCCAGAATCTCACTTTTGTAGTGTGGCTCCCAAAATCTTACCTGGAAGCAGGGACCCTGCACCTGTGTCTCATTTCTCAGTTCTGGGGTATCTCAGATTGGGGGGTGGGGTGGGGCAGCAAATATTAGCTGTCCGTTTGTGGATAGAAACCCCAGGTACAGTCGGGTCCGGGTTTATCCAGGGGCCCGGAGCTGGCAGGGCTGAGCCTCCCTTTCCATGTGTCTTAGTTCTGAGAGCTTTGTCCCAGGAGGAGCTCCCCTGTGCGACCCAAGAAGGCTACTCACTGTGTCCTGGGAGCCTCTGTTCTTGTGTGTGGTGTACAAGCACCACCCGCTGTGGTACTGAGCTCCAAGCAGGACCCTGCCTGCCCTCCAGGAGTCTGTGCCACCACGGGAGACAGGGATGCTCTCTCCCTGGGGCCCAGCAGTCCTGGCACAGCTCCCTCCCAGGGCGCAGGGAGCTGACCCTTAGAGAATGAGTTGGTGCCTGTTAGGGACAGGCTGAGGAGGAGAATCCATTCTGGGCAGACAGGAGAGCTAATCACAGGGTAAGAGAGGAGTCCCAGTGTGCCCAGCCTGGAGGTGGGGGAAGTTGTGAGGGGCACCCCGGTCATCAGCTAGAGAGCAGATTGCCCCAGGAGGTAGAAACAGGGACATGCACAGCCTTGCAGGCCATATAGAGAAATTTAGATCTTTCTTACTGTTGATGCATAAAAATATGATGTGGTGGGAAATTGCAGGTTAGAAAAATCTCCATGCAGAGAGTGGGTGAAGGAGGGAGAGGAGAGGTAGAGGCCCCAGGACAGGTCACAGGCCAGTGGTGCCCGGGCCTGTGCCCCAACAGGTCAGCAGGGTTGGGGAGGAGGGGTCCTTGAATTCAAGATCCCCACACTGATGCTCACCGTCCTCTTACGGTGTGCGTTTTCCGGCCCCCTTCTGCACCTGCACAGCTGGTTTCTGGTGGAGTGACCAGACGTGGTTTTCCTTATGCTGCGTCCAAGCAGCTCTGACCATGACCCATTGTCAGCTTCCTGGCCTGGGAGGGCTTTGTCCTTGGCCCTGGGCTTCATGGATATTGGGGTGCAGTATGCTTGTGCCCTGAGAAACTGGAGTCCATCTTCCTGTCTCACTTTGAACCTGCGTGTCCCTGGGGACTCACAGGCGCAGGAAATTCCTTTGGACTTGGCGAGGAAGTCCAGGCGCCTAGCACTGCGTCCTGCCTGCTCCCCCAGCCACACTGGCCTCCTCTCTGACCTGGGCACATCAAGTGTTTGCCCAGTGCCTGCGGAACTCTCCTCTGGCCTCCTCCTCCTCCTCCTCCTCCTCCATCTTGACTCCAGTGTCTCCTCCCACTCACTCCTGCTCCCAGCACCCTGTCCTTGTCCTCATGGCCTTACCATGGTTGGCAGTTAAGCGTGTGCCTGGTTTCTGCTCTTCTTCCTGAGTGGACCGTTCGATCTGTGAGAGCAGGAATGGGTGGAGAGCCAGTGCTGACAGAGCCAGGCACATGATAGGTGCTCACTCGTCCCATATTTTTTGAACGAATAAGGGACTTTATAAAACACCTGCTGTGTGCCTTGTATTCATCCACATGGGACCTCATTGAATTCCTGGGCAGGTGTCCCTGCCCGGCCCTGCCAGGTGAGAATGGCTAAGGCCAGGCAGGGACTTGCTCAGGGTGGAACTGGTGCCTGATGTTCCTGGAAGCAGCAGAGTCCCCAGGGAAACCTCTGGGTACCTGGGGAGCCGCAGAGGCTGAGGCTGGAAAAAGTGGGGCCGAGAATCCTTTTCTGTTCAGCTGCCAGCCTCCCATGGGTACCCAGGAGCAGCCTCTGCCCACTCGTTCCTTCAGAAGCAAAAAGCTGTTCCCTGCCAAGGGGGCCTCTCCTGTGTGGTTGGGGTTAGGAGACAGGCCTTGAAGACTGGGGCGCCTGGCAGAAGGGGGGGGCACAGCCAGGGAGCCACCGTACCATCCTCACTCTGTGCCCCAGAGGCAACAGCAGATGGTTGGCGGCTCCCCCCCACTCCAGAAGCCTCTTTGTTCAGGCCCTGCCTGTCCCGACCTTCCTCCCAGCCGAGCCAGTAAAGGTCCTCGCGTGAAGCCTGCATCTCCTAGCAACGCTATTGTCCGCTCAGCCCCTCCCAGGGAGTTTACAAACAGCGCCGCAGCTGCCCTGAAGTCCAGGCTGCTCTGAATTCACCAGCTTGTGGTCTCTGAGATGGTGGCTTGGCCCTTGCTTTGCCCTTTCCTGCACCTCTGCTCCGCACCTCAGACCCTTTCCCATTGTTCTTTTATCTACAAGTGCTGTGGCCGCCTGCCCCTGCAGGGCTGGTGATGGGTGTCCCGTACAGTTCAAAAGCCCGCCCCCCTGCCCCCCTTCGTTCACATTCCCACCCTTCCTCCTCATTCTGCCCAGACCCTGGAAGGGGCAGGAATTGGCTGGGTCGGGGAGTTCTTACTTCAGACGCAGCTAGCCCATGCGGAAGCCCCCCAGAGCCAGCTGGCCGCTCTGCTGGCCATTGGGCAGACATTTGCTTTTTTTTTTTGACAAAATTAAAACAACTAAAATTTTGCTTTTATTAAAGTCATAGATGCATATGGTTAGAACATGAAACTGCCCTAACCCCTCCTCACTGTCAACCAAGTTCAATGCACTTTCAACTCTTTAAACTGGCTCCCCTCCCCGCTGAATAACCTAAAAATAGGCTTGTACTGTTGTGTCTTGATTTTTCAATTTTATGTAGTGTTACGTAGTGACTTCCTACTGTGGAAGGTTTTTGACTTGGGTACTTAACCTCCACCTATACGTACCCACCCACACACAGTTTTCTTTCCTTCATCTTTTCAATGTACACAATTTTTTCTAAGACTTCATTCCATGTTTGCATTGTTACAAGTCTGTAAAAATTGTTCCAAGCTGAGCCTGAGACGACGTTTCCTTGTACAACTTTGCTTTTCCTCTGCTTGCTACTTGTCTTGCTTTTGAGTTTGCTCCGTTTTCTATGGATCTGTCATTCATTTATCCCCAGACGCTTCACTGAGTAAAAGAAAGCCCTCTCTGAAGTCAGACACCTCAGTTCACCTGTTCGCTCCGGGCTTTCCCTCAGTGGCGTTCCTCCTGGAGCTCTGCCCTTCCTGCTGGGTCCCGACAGGCGACAGGCGGCCTCCGGGCTTCCTGCTGGTCAGCTGAGGTCCTGGGTCTTTCCTCCACCATCGTCCTGGGAATCCTGGCCCCCTCTCCTGTGCTGAACCACCTGTTCCCTGGAGGCCATTTTCCTCTTGTTCGTGTGCTCTCTCTCCTTTTGCTTAGAGCTCATCGTCCAGGAACTTCCTGAGAAAAAGGATGCATGGGAGTTCTGTGTTTTGAAATCTGAAAATTTTCTGCAAATACCTGTGTTATATTGTTCTATTTGATTCGTTTTCAATGGGAATACAATTCTAAGTTGGAAATCATTCCCTCTCTGCATTTTGAAGACATGTTTCTCACTGCCCTTTTAGTTTCCACTGTTCTGGAAAGTCTGCTGGATTCTGATTCTTTAAGGGTTTTTTTTTTTTTTTTTTTAGCTGAGCCATCCTGCCACCTGTTGGCAGCTCAGCGGCAACTCAGCTCAGGCCGGGCATCGAACCGCTGTTGCTCAGAGCTCGCACTCTTGCGCGAGCTCTTAACCAGCTGAGCCACTCAGCTGGCCCTCTAAGGTTTTTTTTGTTGTTGTTGGTTTTTTTAAGGTTTTATTGGGGAATTGGGGAAGCGGAACAGCCAAGTTGTTGTCCTTCAATCTCAGTTGTGGAGGGCGCAGCCAGCTCAGCTCCAAGTCCAGTCACCATCCAGCTGGCTGCCCGTTGGCAGCTCAGGGCAGCTCAGCTCAAGGTGCTGTGTTCAATCTTAGTTGCGGGTGGGTGCAGCCACCATCCTATGCAGGAATCGAACTGGAAACCTTGTTGTTAGAAGCACGTGCTCTCACCAGCTGAGCCATCCTGCCACCTGTTGGCAGCTCAGCAGCAGCTCAACTTGGGTGCAGCTCACTGGCCCATGTGGGAATCGAACCAGCGACCCTATTGCTCAGAGCTTGCGCTCTTAACCAACCGAGCCACTCGGCTGGCCTTGGATCCTGATTCTTACTGTCTGTGTGTGACCTGCCTTTTTTGCTGTTACTTTCAGGATCTTTATCCCCAATGTTCTGAAATCTCACGAGAGGTGGGATGTTCATGGTGTGGGGTGGCTGGTGGCCCCTTCACTGTGGAAACTCATGTCCTGAGGTCTGGGAAATGTTCTTGTATGTTTCTTTGATAATTTCTTCCCCTCCACTTTATACTCCCTTTCTGGAATTCCTTTTAGTAGGATGTTGCACTTCTGGATTGACTTGACCTTCAAATAATTTCCTTTACCATTTTCCAACTTTTTTTTTTGTTCTATTTTCAGGAGCTTTAAAAAAAAATCTTTACCTTTGAGCTTTTCTGCAGAACGTTTTATTTTCTTTATCATGTTGTAAAATGTCAGGCACTCTTCCCTGTTCTTTTCTTATAGCGCCTTGTGCTTGGCGTTGGATAGAGTTATCTGTGGGAGCTATTGAAGTTTTCTTCTATTTCCTGCATTATCTCTGTCTCCTGACTTCCTTTCCCCAGTTTGTTTTCTTTGGTCTTTGACCTTTGTGTTGGAAGCTGTCCTCAAATGTCTGGTGTCCTTGGCTATTCTTCATATTTAAGAATAGGGTTTACACTGCTGCGCCTCCCCGTTGGGTGATAAGGACACGGAGCATTTCCTCTGCCATTTTTATGTAGTGGTGGGGACAGGCACCAAATGAAGATGTTTTGATTCTGGGCCT